AGCCAAACGAGTCCTCGTCGTGAGTGAGCCCTCAAACTATTGTTTATTTTTTTATTAACTACACTATGTTCTTCTCTCAAATTCTTTTTGTCTTTCACTACTCGTACCACTACAGTTTTTTATTAACTACACTATGTTCTCCTCTCAAATTCTTTTTGTCTTTCACTACGGTAACGGTTCATACTGTACCACTACAGTTAGGGCCTCGCCACACCAGTGTCGAAACGGTGAAATATTCGACAACTGTCAGACCATTTTCGACGTTTCGACACAATGGCCACCTTCGCCACACCGTAGTTTCGTTTTTAGAAAAGGGAAAAAAACAAAAAAGAAGAAGAAAAAGAAACAAAAAAAAAGAAGAAGAAGACACGGGAGCTTGAGGCATAGATGTCGAAATCAACATATCCTTCAACACCTCGTCTCCGTGATGTCGAAACTCGACCCGCTGCAGGCGGGCCATTCGACACCCATGTCGAAAGGTTGTCCTCTGACAAATGTCGAACTGGTTTCGACATTTTTTCTTAGACAGTCTGTGTGGCGAAGAAAAAATGTCGAAAACTGTAGTTTCGACATTGGTGTGGCGAGGCCCTAACTCCTAAGCCTATAGAGAGGGGGCCTCTGCAAGCATAGGGCCTCGTAAACAAGGCTATCAGTGTTTGTTAATCTTGGTTTGGAAAAAAAAGAAACACTGATAACTCACGATAAGATTTTGCCCCTCGATGAGCTCAACACGTCCACAAGAAAACAGTTTTTTTTCTTCTTTTTTTTTAACACTCATTGGGGGGTATCGACAACAAATTATAGTAATAATTCCACAAAACGACTTTGGCAGAGTCTATGAGGTCAACGTCCACAGACACTTTTTTTCCTTTCCCCATAAAACAGGTTCCATCTGGATTCGAACTCACGTGACCAAAATTTCTAACTCTGGCGAGCCACAGGCAAATGCTTTTTCAACAGACAAGAGTCTGCAAATGAACCTTTTCATTTAACAGTTCATGGGTGTACCAACTGACAACAGACAATTTTGGTAGGCGTGGAAGATGGGTAAGGTTTTTTTTTTTTCTTTTTTTTAACCTGTCGAATATGGACAGGACGGCTATTCAGGCCTTTTTTTTATTGTCATTATAGTATTACAGGGAACCCCACAGCAGCCACATCCCTGCTCAAGCCTTCAACAAGGGAAGATGCCGGAGCTGCACCCACCAGCAGGTGCAGGTGGGCTATACCAGCCATATAGCCTGGAGCCAGGGGTCAGCCGGTAGCATCAGGACTGAGCTTCTTTGATTGGCCAGTTGCTGTCTCCCCTCCGGTCCCCTCCCCCAAAGAACACCAGCAGTCTCTGCACAATGCCGCCCGCGGGACCAACGACCTATCTCTAGGTGGCGGGCGCCAAGCTTGCCCAGGAAAGTACATGAGGACAATGGGGATTGAACCCAAGACCTTTTCAATGCGGCTTGCGTGCCTTCCCAACTGAGTTAGGCCTCTGGGTCGACCGGCAAGACTTAGTCTCAAAAATAGAGGGCTCTAAGGCACGGAAGTTTGCATTCAGGAGGTGGTGGGTGCAATCCCCATTGGCCTCACGTACGTGCCTGGGCAAGGTTGGTGGTCTACCAGGTAGAGATAGCCCGTTGGCCCTGCAAGCCAGCATTGGCAGGAACTTAGCCAATATTCTTGGTTGCTATGCAGCAATGATATTGGCTATGAGACACGGCTAATGTGGGGTTGGAGGGCGGTAGGGGGAGGTGCAAGTGACTGGCCAGAGATGCTCGGCACTAACATCGCCGGTTTCCCCCCTCCCTCGGCAATGCCTGATCACCTGCCAATGCCGCCATCATCGTGACGAGGGGCTGATACAAGCCTTGCTCTCACACCACTGCTGTGGTGCCAACCTCCCCCGGGCCCATGGGCTGGGGAGAGTTCCAGGTTTGGTTGGTGTTTCCCCGTACTACTATACATAGAGTAGCGAGAGGATGAGATAGATGAGGAATATACAAAGAATATTCAGAGAAGAATATAGATTAGTTTTTATTGATAAAAAAAAAAAGAGCGTCGCGGTAGTTTCACAGCAAAAGTAGTGGCAGGGCCCAGGTTTCATTGCAAGAATACATTTTTCGTTGCAGCTTTCCAGGTCCCCGTGGTTTCACAGCCAAAAATATTTGCGGGTGGGGTTCCACTTCTGTTCCAAAAAAATATATTTTTCGGACCCCGGCAACATTTCGAAAAAGGGCTATTGCTCTAGGCTGTTTTTCCCGGCACCGGGGCACCCAACTTATGCCCGGGTACACGCCCGGTTGCCCGGCCGGGCATTATCCCGGGTCAGGGCAGCCCCAGAGCCAAAAAAAAAAAAAAAAAAAAAAAAAGAGAAAAAAAAAAATGTTGTGAAGAATTGCAATACAATCGACTTTTGGCTGAGGGTCGCATTAGAATCAGAGATAAAAAAGAAAATAACAGAATCACACTAAGGCACCCCCCTTTTAACCCCTTTAGCCCCTTCAAAACCAATTTGGGGAAACGGTATCTTGGTCCATAGTGCAATTATAACTCAGTTTTGTGAGTCCGCATAGTTTCGCAACCAATTTATATCCCCCCGCCCCCCCGCTTTGACAGCCAACTAGCAGAAAAAGAAGTGAGCCCGTATTTGGGGTCCTGTGGGAGAGCGCAGAAAACCTTGAAAAAAAAATAAATTTCTTTTTTTTTTTGCACGCCCAGGTAACCCAGGCGTCAGACCCGGGCGCCCGGCCGGGCGGCCGGGTGTGAGAATCTTCCTACCTATTTCTGCAGTTACCCCAAAAAAGAATGGTTTCAGTTTCGTAATCGTGAAAAAACAAAAACAGATTGCCGCTGAAATGAACAAAGTTAATGGCACAAAAAAAAAACAGATTGCCGCTGAAATAAACAAAGTTAAACAACACGTTGACGCTGAAAAAAATCGGTCTTCCTTTTCTCACATTGCCCCCCAAAAAAACGTCGTGTTATGGTTTGGTAAAAAAAGAAGGAAACCGAGGAGAACGTTGCGCGGCAGAATCCCATGCACCATAGCGCTCACAGTTCCTGACAAACTGTGGACCGCGTCCTTCTGGACGTCCGTTAAATTTGGAACGATACAGAGAAGATTAGCATGGCCCCTAAGCAACGATGACATGCATAAATCGACAAATTGTCCAAATTATTAAAAAAAAAAAAAAAAAAAAAAAAAAAAAAAAAAAAAGTAGACCGCTGATATTTCATAAGGCAATACAGAGCAACGCTGCCTGGAAGACCGTTTCAAGGGAATAATTATTCGGTTTGTTTCAAAGCAAAACAGATTGAATGGGAGTCTTTGGACAGGGTACCGGCGGGGATATCTCTCGCAAACTAGACTTCTATGTACAGAGACACGTATATCTGTTACAAAACATGAATTTGCAGGTAATATCTGCTACATATAAAACACGTATTCCTTTGAAGGAAAAAAAAAAAAAAAAGAAAAAAAAAAGAGAAGCATTACTGTAATTCAACCGATTGTTCCTGAGCAAATTACAGGAAAACCCGTTTTTCCGAGTTTTTATTTTTTTTATATTTTTTTTTATATTTTTAACACCTTTCAAGTCATTTCACAGGGTCGAACTAGAGTCTACCTCAACAAGGTCTTCTTTCCCCGTGGATTCTGTTGTAGCAGATATACATGCAATCTCATGTTTTGATACGGATATACACATTTGTATCTGTACAGATAAGGGATAAACCCGTTTGCGACGAGTTCTGTAACACAGGTACCAGCTGGTACCATGTTACGTAACAGAAGACCAGTCTGCAATTTCTTTCGGGGGAAGAATATGGGCAGCTTATTGGGCTTAATTCAGTCAAGTTGAGAGTCTTCGAAAAAGCTGAAAAGTTTTTAATAGTCTATTAAGAATGCAGAACCAAGCAGCGACTGATTCTGCCACCACAACACTGCCACATTCATCCCCAATAAATAGGAACTGTGGGAGGGTGTTTGGCCTGTGGCATGCCTGTCGACAGGTCCGCTGTATACAAAACAACGTCCCGGGGGAGAATATCTGTTACCAACCTTGTACGAAAGGGCTTATCTGTATACATAAGAGGTACGAAAGGGCTTATCTGTATACATAAGAGGTATATCTGTTACAAAACATGAATTTCCTGGGGTGAGACACGGGTGTTCCTGCACGGCCCCGCAAGACACGGGTGTGAGAGGAGCCAACATTAAATCATTGAAAAAAAGAGATCACACAAACCTACCCAGAAGCGATAGGCAAAGGGAAGGAACAAACAAGGAGCGGCGAAAAGGAAGAGCCGGCGTTCGAGTGACCCAAAGAAGAAAGACCGAGCAACATCTGAGATACTCATATAGAGAGAGAGAGAGAGACAGAGAGAGACAGAGAGAGAGAGAGAGAGCATTAAAACAAGGAAAAGCTGGCGTTCTAGTTAACCCGAGAAGCGAGAACGAGCGAGATATTGTGCAAGCTCGAAGATGCACACATGGAGAGAGAGAGAGAGAGAGAGAGAGAGACAGAGAGAGAGAGAGAGAGAGAGCATGAAAACACAAACGTTTGTAACAAATTTGAGAAGCTATTTTTATCTGTTCCAGAGGGACATGGTCTTTAATTTTTCAGCCACCAACATCATTGAGTCGACGCGAAACACCACCGTCGTCTACACTGCTGAAGATCAGCCAGCACTTCAGCAGTGCTCAGGTCCCTACAGCTCTACTAGCGAACAGATACGGATCTATCATCTATGCTATTCAATGAACTATGAAAATGCTTTTGTGGCTGTTCCTAGACCCAACAGCCCTCGGCGGCAGAGACAATGTTCCCTGCAGCACGCACCAGAGGTTAAACTTTCTTAACCAGTGGCGAGGATCCGAAAATAGGTTAACATACTGACGCCCCTCTCGGTRTGACCAGGCGTAGATCTTGCGTGAGCTTCCCCTTCTGACATATTCTTTGTGAGGGTTTGAAGGCATAACTGTGATGATGAACCCCCAAACCCATCTATGTCCACTGCCACTCGACGGCAGATAGCGTCACCTTCGCCAGGACTAGCTATGATCCACGCCCCTGTTTCCTCGTGCCACTGAGTACTTGAATCCACTCTCCGCAAAGACCCGGCGGCAACATCCCATGGATCATTGGCCGCCTCAATCTATCTTCCGCCTTGTCCGACGCCGCGGTCTTCTCACCGCCAGCGCCTGAATTATCGAAGACGTCTCGAGACATTCCCTTGCTCCATGGACGACGACGAACAGCTGAGAGACGTCGCGAGATCCCAACCGCCAAGGCCTCGTCTGCCGCCATCACATCAGAAAGGCGCCTTAGATTTCCCTTGACAGGCACTTCGCCCTCCTGGCGCTCCGTCAACAGCGAAGCTGTCCCCCCTGTCAATCCAGTTTGCTTGTCGCCGCCGTTCCGGCATTCCCATCCCACGCCATCCACGGGACCATGCGGTAAGCTTGCTTGCTCGCCCTGACGAAATGCGGCCGCTACTAACTCAACGCGATTTGCAGCATCCAGCGATAGCTCCGAACCAGAGGACGTGGGAAGATCAAATACAAGTCGCGGAGAAGCTTCTTGTTCCGGAGCCTTCAACGAACACGAGGTGCGCGTCAACCTCTCCCATATCTCACCACCCTCTTCGACGGCATCTTCCATCTCTCTTTCCTTTCCGCCACCCAAGCGTGACGAGACCAACGATCCCACCGGGGTTAGATCCGCAGTATTCGGGAAACCAGCGGGATGGGAGCTCTTCACCACCAGGTTTGCAGAGCATCTCCGGCGGCGCGCACCATCGACTGCTTCGAGGCCAAAGTCGGCTACGAAAGGGTGCTAAGGGAGCTTGGAAGCTGACCACCTTTGGGAGGGCTCCCGGACCAGGCACTTGGAGAGAAAGTCTTTGGCCTCAGATGACAGATGCGGGGGGAAAGCAGGAACCTCGTCGGTGCACGCGATGCGGAACAGCGCTGACATGGCGTCCTCCACGTCCGTCCAGGGCGCTCTGCCGGTAGCCATCTCGATCACCGTGCAGCCCAACGACCAAATGTCGGACGCCGCTTCCAGCGTGCCGCTCTGGCCGGCTACCTCGGGAGCCATCCACTGAACAGTGCCTGCGAGGGATACGGAAGGTCTAGGACAAGCGCTGACCTCCTCCGGCGATACAGTACCGAGCTGGATGGATGAACCTTGCGATTGGCCATCGACGGAAGCGCCACGGTTCCCCCAGACGCAAGCTGAAGCACCAAAGTCCGAGAGCTTGGCAGTTACCCCACCCTCCTCGTCGACCACCACCAAGACGTTCTGACCTTTGACGTCCCGATGCACTACTCCCTGGGAGTGCGCGTGCTGCAGTCCGCGCAGAATCCCTCGGCAGCATCGCCGGATCATAGACTCGTCCAACTTTCCCCCGAAACGCTTTGAGAACTCCGCCATGCTGCCCCCGTTCGCCAGCTCCAGGAGCAGGTTTCGCTCCGATGACCCGTCCTGGCCTACTGTCCAGTCGTCCCCAAGGTACTTCACCACGTGAGGAGACGGACCCAGCCGCCTTAGAATGGTGATCTCGTTCTCTAATGCACGAAGCTCGGCCATCGACGCACGCGCCAAAGGGCTTCCTGGATCGCCAACGGCCTCTGGAGTGATGCCTACGGTCTTCACGGCAAACACCGCGCACGACCGTCTGTCAAGCGCGTGATGCACCCGCCCAAATGACCCTTGCCCAAGGACGCTGCCACGAAACCAGCAGGATGATCCCCTCTCTTCGCTCCTATCACAGCCTGTCAGGCCGTCGCGTTCGGCAGAACAGCCATTTGCTGCCACCCTGACGGTTGCTCCACGGTCATGCGCATCCATGATAATGGTGCACGCTTCAGCGCAATGCAGAGTTATGTTACGCACACACACACGCACACAGAGAGAGAGAGAGAGAGAGAGAGAGAGAGAGAGAGAGAGAGAGCAGTTCGTCTGTCTTCAGTCTTCAGATGCAGCTGGTCCTGGCTCCAACCGAAGGACGGAGGCTGATTTGATCAGAAAAAGTCAAAGTAAGTTGGCTGCAAGAAGCCACAACCGCGATGTTTATGAACTTAAACTTTAGATGGCCGGAAAGTGAAACGATATTCTCGACCAGCTGATGAGGACCGTTCTGCACGTTGCTGACGCTCGGTGGGAACGACGGGCAGTGACGACATGATTGACGAGGGCGGAGGGTCGTGAACGGCGTTGTGATGAGAGAAGAGCATGATTGTTCTCCACGACAGATGCCACCCGCAGTGTGGCGTGGTTACGCTCCACAGAACATATCTACAAGTGGGAAAGCTCTGCGGCTGAAAGATAACATAAGGGCACCGTTGCGCAAGCAGGAAGAGAGAACAACAGCATTGAAAGGAGGGAATTCGTGAGCAACTCAACGAAGAAGGACGTGAGCTACCGCAGTCGTACGTCAACAACGCAAGCTTAAAAGGAACAGCGATCATACGAACGTGTGGGAATGGACTTGCGCACACCGGACTGACTGTGGTTATCAGCCGTGGGGGACCGACTTTTGTAATGGTGAAGCTTTGGGGCTTCTTCTTCCCTCCAACATGCAATAACTGACTGACGCTAAGGAGAGGTCTGCAGACGAGACTCGATGAAACTCTACGCAGCAGCTCACTCCTACGGACGTCCGCGGTACAAGAGGCAATGAGCGCCATTCCGCCCGAATCCTTGACACACCGTCCACTGCTTCGCCATGCCCGCCTCCGAGACATCGCCATGTCCTTCATGGTATCAAATCGTACGAGCGGCGATACGAAGGCGGGTGGGCAGCTAAACACAGCGCGCATGCGAAAGAACATCTTTACGCTCTAAGACTTTTGATCTGTCGCGTCTAGCGATGTCAGATTATCCCGTGTATCGCCGAGTATCGCCCGTTTCCGATTTCGAAATCGAGCCGAGGCCCGTGGAATTGTCTACTCAGCGAAGACGCCCAACGTCCCGTCCCGCTCGCGCTGCTGCGCTCCTTCCAACTTTTTTTTTTTTTTTTTTTTCCCTATGAACATCAGCAGTCTCTGCTCAATGCCACTCGGGGGGACCAACGGCATATCTCTAGGTGGCGGGCGCCAAGCTTGCCCAGGAAGGTACATGAGGCCAATGGGGATTGAACCCAAGCTGTTGCTGTTGCTGTTGCGTTACCCGTGCTGTTAATCACTTCAGTGCCCCACTGCTCAAGTGCCTTTACGTACGACAAACGAAAATGGCGGGGTCGAGACGAGCGCGGAGGAGGTGTCGTGAAAAACTCGCCTCCGGAAGCCGGCTGGCCAGGGACCCAGCGAGGGCGAACTCTACTTCGCGGGAGAAAAAGGGAACCGTGTGATCGAGATGGCACCCTTGGCTCTTAGACTGGGAAGAAAAAATTAAAAAAAAAATGGCCCGCCGTTTCTTTGGTGGTTCCATCAGTGGGCCTCGTTCCACTACTCACCAAATGTGCAAAATGAGAACGAATCTTTGTTTGGCCTCCTCCTTTTTCTTTTGAAATTTCCTCTTCTCCTCTTTCTTCCTTCTCGTCCCACTTCTGCAACCAGAAGTCTCTGAGGCTTTGTTCAACCAGCGGCTCCAACCCGAGCTTGGCCTGTTTGGGCCTTGCTCCACACTACTCTATACGTGGCGGAAAAAGTTATGGCCATGTACTGTCCCCTGGCCCTCAAGAGTCAAGGCCATCACCCTTTTAAGAAAAAAATGTTCTAACAGAAGATTCAGTTCCGTCTCATATTGCACATTTTTTCCTGTTTTCTCGTTTTTTTTTTTCACACATTTGGAGAGCAGTGGAGCTAGGCCCTTTGTTTGATGTCCCCGTCGCCTCTGAAAAGGTCATACGTTCACTTAGCTCTGGCTTTGGCCAGCCTTGTGCTCAGCTCTACTTTTCTTCTTTTTCTTCAACTAATCTAGACTTGACTAGCGTCAGATTCATGCCCTTCGGGTGAGATACATTTAGGAAAGTGGTACCTATTTATACTTCCAGTTGCCCACGACTGCGGTAGCCGAGTTGTGATCAAACCACCTGTCCTGAACACGTCAACGATTGGCCCACCGAAAGAAAGAAAGCCACCTGTGCTGGAGCCGGCAGGATCAGATGCGATTTGACCCGGTTACCAGCATTTCTCGGAGGAAGGACGAGCATAGTCGTGAGGCTGCCAGGGAACTGTGCCTTCTTAAGTTCGTGGGGGCCACTCTCCACAACATGGACCTCAGTGTTGTCCGATCTAGAATGCGAAGGACAAAGCTCCCTCTGGCTCCATTCCGCCTTTTTCACGCATGAACTGGTTTCTTCGTATTAGCCGGAGCTTGGGCCCTTGGTAGTATTTTCTTTTTACTTTTGAAAGCCCTTCTGCAAGGCCTCTATCCCAGTGTGTGGGAAGAGAACCACCGGAATTGACGCATTCCCTGTCCGGCTGCTTCATCTATTGGTGGGGAGCGGCACCTGCTGGAAACCGGGTCCAGCATCCCTTGGATAAACATCTGAACACAGTGTTTGTTGGGACTATGGTCATATCAGTTTTCAGCCTGGAGATAGGAAAGAAGAGAAAAAGAACATAGGAATATTTGCGTTAAGCTCCTCAAAGTTGAGATATATGCCAGAATGCCCCTAAAAGGTGTGGTAGAGCAGAATACCCTTCTAATTATTAAAAGTCCTTCCAAAATACCCTTCGCATGGTTGAACCAACCGTCTTTGTGATATAACCCTATGTATCACCCGCGGTCATGACCGCAGGCCATTTTACTGCATGCAGTCATGGTCATGCCCGAGAGGGGCAGCCACGGGGGCCAACTGCGGTCAAAACACCGCATGATTTTTCAAAAAGAGAATAATAGGCTAGGCTACCAGCCGGGTCGCCTGGGTCACCCTATTTTCCCGGGCGGCCCGGCCGTGCACGGACCAGGGAAGGTTCCAGCCAAAAAAAAAAAAAAAAAATCCAAGAAATCCGGAAAAAAACTATGTTATTTAGGAAAATAAACTGAACAACTTTTGCCTCAGGGTCACATTGAAATTCTTTCCAAATTTAAAATAAGGCCGGGCAAGTGGACCTGGGCCACTCTCGTAGGCTAGATAATAGGCCAAAAAAAAAAAAAAAAAAAAAAAAAAAAGGGGGTTGTAGG